GTGTGCGTGTGTATCTCTCCGTCTCTCTGCCTCTCTCTGTCTCTGTCTCTGTCTCTCTCTGTCTCTCTCTGTCTCTCTCTGTCTCTGTCTCTCTCTGTCTCTGTCTCTCTCTGTCTCTCTCTGTCTCTCTCTGTCTCTCTCTCTGTGCGTGTTCGTGTGCACTTGCGTAGGTGTTTTATCGCAATGTATGCTGTTTCTCGTCCGCTTGTGCTTGTACGTATTTGTGTGAGCGTGTACAGACGCACAGCTGTTTGCTTGCGCTTGGTGTTTGCATCTGCACCCCTTGATCCCCTTGAGTGTCGTTGTGGTTGCCTTGTTGCTCAGCACAGCATCTAACATGCGCATGACACGCGCTCGCTTCGCCTTACCATCATATCGACAGACCACCGCGAAGCCGCAACAGCGGCAAACCCAGCGTGGCAACGCCGCCGCTGCTGAGGGCGAGAAAACGATGGACCACAAGCCAATCAAGCCAAAGGCAGTCAAGATGCCTGCACGCAAGAAGAAAGCCAGCCCAGTGCGTGCATTACGTCGTGTGTGATCTTTCCTTTGAGTCCTCCAGCCAAAGATTTGCCCTTTTTCGCTTGTTTGCTGTTCCTTTGTCCTTTGCAAACTTTGAAGTGCGCAATCACCATCCTCACTCAAAGTACGTGTGTGCCATGGTTGGTGCGTGCAACACATGCAGTTTGCGGATGACACCACCCAGCAGGAATCGACACAGGAGCCGCAAGTGTCAGCACCGTCCCGCTTTGATCGACAGGAGCGCGCCTACACCACGTGCGTTTTATCGTAGTTGTGTTCGTCTTGCGAGGGGGGGGGGGCGGAAGCTGTGTTGTGCGGTTTGTGGAGATGTTGTTGTTGCACATGGATGAGCACGAATAGAGGAATTGTACATGCATCACGTTACTTGTGTGTTTCTGTTGGGGTATCGCATATTGCGCAACATCAACTCTCTTGCGATCCAGTGTTTCATCTCACCCGTCCCCTCGACTGCTTTGGACATGTGTTTGTATGCATGGGTGTGTGTGTGTGTGTGTGTGTGTGTGTGCGTGTTTGTGTGTGCGTGTGTGTCTTGATTGCAGTTGGATCAACCACGTGCTTTCACCGGCTCGCAACGTCGTCAACATGCACACGGAACGCGAGCTGCTCAAGCTGAGGTGTGGTCGCAACTGCAGATGGCGAGGGATGTTAGCAGTGGATGGGGTGTCTGTATGCCTGTATGCGTGTGTATGCGTGTATGTGTATGTGTCTCTGCGTGCATGTGAGTGTTCAGCAGCTGAAGAATGCCGACTGCGCAGACACAGAGCGAGTTGTTGTGTGATTGTGCAACGCGGCAATCGTATTTGTCAAGAGCACATGCGTGATACAAGCGAACGCTTGAGCCCTGGAGCTGACACGTGTGCCCTTCCCACTTCATTTGCACTTCAGATCCCGTGCAAAGGCATTGCGCGCGTCAGAGACGGTTTCAAACGGACTGTCAAAGCTCTGGGAGAACATTGAAGGTGTGATCGATTGTTGCGTCTTGAATACCCCAATGCATGTGGGCATGCGCGCATGCACATGCATGCTTCTATTGTTTGACACGTTTCATTCGTACTCGGCGTCCACTAACGCAAGCAAACACGCAAACACACTCACAAAACCCAACATACAAACAAACAACCAAATCAACAAACACACACACACACACGCACACACAAATACAATCACGTGTGCGTGGTGCAGGGGGCGCGCTGGTTGCACGGGAAGAGTCTTGCATTTTCCTCGACATTCACTTGCGGGATGAAGCTGTGCGCGTGTTCATGTCCTTCCAGCCAGAGTGGCTAAGATTCGGTGCGTAGCTAGACACACATGGCACACTCGCTCTCAAGTAACAACCTTAAGTGCAAGTATTTGTGTCTTCATTTGTGCCTGTCACGACACCCGCTTGTTCTTCACGCGAACTCACACACACACACACAACCAAACACTTAAACACACACACTCATACACAAACACTCAAACACAACCAAACACTAACACATGCACAACCACACACGCTGACACAACCATAATCACACGCACGTGGTTTGTTGTTCAACAGGCCTGGAGACGCTGTTTGCGCAGCCAATTGAGGTTGACGCCAGCAATCCAATGTCATCTCTCAAAGCGTTTGTTGCCACCAATGTCATGGACAACGCCGACATCAAGGAGCACTACTGTTTTCCTGCCGTGCCCAGCCACCTTGTGGATGAGTTCCACACCACCATGGCCAATCACATCCTCTTTACCATGATTGGTGTTGTGTTCCTTGTCGACCAGGTAATGACAGACGCATTTGCATCTGTGAACGCGTGCAAGACACACATTGTGAAATATTCTTGTCTGCCGCTCACATTCACACTTGCACCAACCACCACAACTCACATTCACGTGGTTGTTCACTTGGGCCTGTACTCCAACAACAAATGCCACAAACCCACTCGCCCTCCTTTCCTTTGCCCCGTTCACACACACACACTTAACAACGCTCGTCCATAACACTCCACCGTCAACATCACCATCAAACCACACCAAATGTCACCATGAGCAGGCACGTGCCAAGTCCCTGCTGCCACACTCCCCGTGCGTGTTTATGCCGGCGACATTTGACTCCTCCAACGCCGTCCTGGCCTTCATCTCAAACCAGTTTCTCAAGGGTGAAGGATCCCTCGAAAAGCACCTGAGTACGTGTCTGTGTGTCTGTGTCCAGCCTTGTGTAAGTCTACTCGGTTCTGTCCCCTTCACGCACTTAAATCAACTCACTTCCACCGCCGCCCGTGTGTTTTGCAATGACAGGATACCTTGGCCTCACCTTCTCGTACAAGCAGTCCTCCCTTGAAGAGTACGACTATGAGGTACAAAGTACACACCACACTACGGGGCATACAAGGACCCAGCGCACCCGCATCACCTGCATTGTGCACGCACAGAACATTGGCCCTGTTCAAATCGCTTCATCACACTCACACACACACACACATGCACACACACTCACTCACTTTTGTTGTGTTCCTCTCTTCTGCTTGTGTCGTCAACACGCGCCATGGTGCAGGTGACCAACCTCTCCACGGACATGCGTGATGGTGTCAAGTTGTGGCGTGTGCTGTCTCTCATGCACAGCAGCAACAGCAGCCGCACTGCCCTGCCATACACACCTGTCGTCAGCCAGAACAAGGCAGTGTGGGTCAAGAACAACAAGCAATATCTCGCCGCCCTCAAGGTACGAGGCTGTTTGCGAGATGGAGGGGGTGGGGTTGAGTGAGCATGTGATGACTTGCCAGTGCACGTGCAAATGTGCCGCGTGGTGTGGGCGACTCAAACAAAGTGCACAGTCAGCCGTTAACACGCGTGAACCACATGTTAGATCCGCCAAACCATTGTGCTCATTTCAAACATCATGCGCCGCCACTGTCAATCACGCCCATACAGGCTGCCGGGTGCCAGCAATTTTTCCCACAGCGGGCCGCTGATGACCTCGCAAACGGGCACCGTGATGTGACACTCTCTGTGCTGTGGGCCACCCTTGTCTGCTTCCGCATCTGCAATCCTCTTGACGAAGCCCTGCTTCTCGCAGAGATTGGTACGTGCCATATTGCTGTCACATGCACATGTACACACACACACACACACACACGAGTGCGCGAACAAAACACCACGCACACACCCACACACACACGCTCTGCGTGATTGTTCAGCCTCTGTGCATGTCTCAAAGGCTGTAGTGCTAGACATGTTGTGCTCATTGTATCACACCTGATGTAACACATGCCTATCCTTTCCTCCGCACCCAAACAACACAAAACACACACACACACACACACACACACACACACACAAACAAAACACACCATCACACCCTACAGCTCGCATCAAGCGCAATCCGCGGTACAAGCGCACGGACAGCCGCCGCGCCTCTGAGGCGCACATGTACCAGAACAGCCCGCAAGTGAACCTCCTGCTGCAGTGGTGCCGTGCAGTGTGCATGTGCTACGATCTCGAGGTCTGCTGTTTGCGACTGCGTTGTGCGCTGATGCGTGTTGGTTTCAGTCACGTAAACCCTCACTCGCACTGTAATTGTGTTCTCATTGCAAATTGCGATGTATCGTGCTCATGTCCCTTCCTCGCTTGGTACTTGCTGCGCTTGCTTGTCAGGTTGTCGATTTCACGACGAGTTTCAGCGATGGGCGTGCGCTGTGCTACCTCATCAACTTCTACCACCCGCAGCTGCTCCAGCGAAGTGCCATCAACACAAGCACCACCGCCACAGACACGAAGGACAAGACCTTTGATGCCAGGGTGAGCACAACCTTGTGCGGAGCATGTGTGCACTTCGATGCGCGTATGCTCTTTTGAATATGCAACCTGCTCCAGAACCATGTCCGAGAAACCACTTCAACGCCTGCCCATGCATTGTACCAAGTCCAGGGCACACCCATGTTGATTTGGGTGCCTTCGTCTTCATACTTCTCCTGCCAGTTCTCACATGATTGAACCTTGCTCCTGCTTTTGTTGCATCCTTGTTCCTCTGTCTCCGTTCCCCCCCCCCCCCATTGAGCAGATGGCCGCTGTGCGCGAGTCTGACAATGGATTCTCCTGCGTGATGAGCCCCGGTGTGAACCGTGTTGGTGGACGCTCTCGTCAGCAGCTTCTTGGTAAGGTCAACCCCATTTGTGGACTTGCCTGCGAGCACCGACTTCTGCTGTGGTGGTGATGGTGGCTCAGATCATTACTGTTAAACCCTGTTTTGAAAGAGACGCGTTTGGTATTGCATTGCCGCGAGCGCAATTGTCATACATTCACATCATTCATGTTCACCCACCTTGCGAACTTGCTGTTTGTTCATTGCAGAGAACGAGAAGGGCAACTACAAGCTGATTAGCCAGGCACTGAAGAAGCTTGGCGGCGTTCCCCTCCTCGCAAAGAGCAAGGTATTGTGGTGATAGGCATGGATTGTGCTTTGTTTCGCTGACACCTGTGTTTGAATTTCTGCACAGTGGCAGTTGCATATTCGTGTGGTGCATTTCCATCACAACCTTCATCCCAACCGTCGCCGACGTATTCAACGAAGCATTCAACCACCAAGCCAGATGTGTGACACGCGCGCGTATATTTCAACACCACACTCTCTCTCACTCAAACGCATCATAGGACATGTGCGGCACCGTCCCGGATGAGCGTGTGGTGATATCGTACGTCTCGTGCCTCTGCACGCGCCTGCTTGACATCAACCAAGAACAGCGCGCTTGCCTTGTCATCCAACGTCACTGGCGCCGATTCCACAAGGTGTGTGTGTGTGTGTGTGTGTGTGTGTGTGTGTGTGTGTGTGTGTGTGTGTGTGTGTGTGTGTGTGAGTGTGTGCGTGTATGTGTGTATGTGTGTGAGTGAGTGCGAGAGTATGTATGCGGGAGTGAGTGTGTATGCGTGCATGTGTGTGAGTGAGTAAGTGCGAAAATATGTATGCGTGTGTGTGCGCGTGTTGCACACTGGCCATGGACACATTCCTTGTTCACTCCCAACCCACAACCACACATGCATACCACTACAGCGTCGCGAGGAGGAATTGGCAGTCGTCAAGCTGCAGCGGCAGTGGCGCAGTGTGCTGTTGATGCGGGCGCAACAACGCGCCTACCAGCAGACAAGAACGGCCGTTATTGCCCTTCAAAGCGGCGTGCGCATGTGGCGCCAGCGTTGCGCCTTCCAACGTACCATGCATGCAATCGTAGCTGTGCAAACATGCGCGCGGAGGTGGGCTGCACGCCGGGTGCTCGCACAGCTCAAGCGCCACCACCACGCCGCCATCACCATGCAGTGCGCTGCACGTGCGTATATTGCCCGCCGTCGCACTGCTCTTCTGCGGGAAGCGCGTGACCGGCACCGCGCTGCAACGTGCATCCAGCGCCACATCCTCACCTGGCTGGCTCGTACACAGCACCAACAGCGCTGCAAGGCAGCAACCGCCGTCCAGGCCGTGTTCCGTGGACGCCAGGCGCGGCGACAGGCTGCACGCCGTCGCGCTGCCATTCTCGTTCTTCAGTCTCGTGTGCGCGCTGTGCTGCTGGGCCGTTGGATTCGAACGGCGTATCTGCAGTACAAGGCTGCAGCGGTTGTGCTGCAGCGTGCTTGGCGTCAGCGCTGTTGCTTGCAGGCAACGCGGGCAGTGTGCCAGGAGCGCCGTATCGCCGCAACAACCATCCAGAGTACCTGGCGCATGTGGAAGTGCAAGCAGCAGCGTCGCACGAGGATGACAGCTCTTGTGACGTTGCAGTCGTTTGCACGCATGTTCCAGGCGCAGAGGCAGCTGTCGACGCTTCGGCGGGAGCGGGCTGCGGCTGTGACCCTGCAAGCCGCTGTTCGAGGCATGCGTGCCCGCCAAGTGCTGCGACAAACGCTCACACGCCGCAAGGAGACATTTGCGGCTGTGTGCATCCAGAAACATGTGCGCGGCTGGCGTGCTCGCTGCGCATTCACCCGCACACGTACGGCCACGACTACGATCCAAGCCGCGCTCCGAGGCACGCTGGCACGCAAGGAGGCGCAGCGTCGTCGCAGCGCCATTGCTGTGCTTCAGATGCACGCACGGGCAACACTGCAGATGCGAGGAGTGCGACGCGGGTTCTTGCAGTTCAAGACGGCCGCGATCACGCTTCAGCGGCAGTGGCGACTGCGCACGGAGGCGAAGCACACGCGACAGCTGTGCGTGGTGCGGCGCAATGCAAGCGTGTGCATCCAGCGCACGTGGCGCATGAGGCGTGCACGCTCACACTTTCTTCGGCTGCGCAGTGCAGCCGTTGTGCTTCAGTCTGCGGTTCGTGCCACAATGGCTCGCCAGCACACAGCCCACCTTCGCCGCCGCCAAGCTGTTGTGCAGCGTGTCGCCCGTGGACTTCACCTGAACCTATGCGCCATCACCATTCAGCGCGCGTTCCGGGGCTTTGCTGCGCGCAAGACTGCTGCTGTGGTCCTGCAGAAGCATGCCCGCCGCCACCTCGCCCAGACGCGCTTCCGACGCACGCTGGCCGCTGTTGTGTGCCTGCAGCGTCACACGCGTGGGGTTGCCACACGCCGGGCGTACAAGGCGTGGCGTGCACAGCGGCTGGAGAGGCTGACTGGCGCCACGCGTGCGCACCTCGCTGCCACTATGATCCAGCGTGGCTATCGCCGTTACAGGCAGCAGACACGGGCGGCCGTGCTGATGCAGAAGACGGTGCGCGGGTTCCTTGCTCGTCGCCGCTTTGCTGCTGTGTGTACCTCTGTTGTTCGCCTGCAGTGCGCGTGGCGTTGCCTGCAAGCAGTGCGTGAAGTGCGACGACGCAAGGAAGCGGCGGAGCGGCGTGCACGCGTGCTCTTGCTGGGTGCGCGCATGTTCCTGTCAACGGTGACCATCCAGCGCCGTGTGCGTGCATACCAGCAGCGGCAGCGGGAGGAGCGTGCCGCGTGTGTGATTCAACGGCACTTCCGCGTGTGGAAGAAGCTGCACTCCAAGGCATGCCGTGAGGGCGCAGCGACACGCATCCAGGCGTGGTTCCGTGCGTACCGAATCCGCAAGCGCATGAGTGACCGCCTGAAACGCATTCACCAGAACGTCATGGAGGTGAACAGGCAGTACTGCCCGGAGGCGACGCTTGGGTGGAAGACCAACTCTGCGCTGACGGTGCTGCTCAAGTACAAGAAGGTCTCGCGCGTGCTGGAGGCACTGAAGAACCTCAACCGCATGGCAGGCTTGTCTGCGGAGTGCTGTGGCCGTATTGCCAGCCACGACGGCTTGGACGTGATTTACACGCTCATTCGCAGCTGCAACCGCTCCAAGCCTGAGATGGCCATGGTGGTGCATTGCCTGAGCATCATTGAGAGCCTCCTGCGTCACGATGTCACGTGCGAGCGGGTGATGCAGAATCTTCAGCTCGGAGAGCTCATGTTTGACCTCACGCGTGGCTATCGCGACAATGCGGAGATCTTTGAGCCGGCCTGCCGTCTCCTTCACCGCTGCTGCCAGGAGCCGAGCCACCGCGAACGCTTGCAGAAGGACCGCTCCTACATGAAGCGCCTCGCCTCTCTCATCAACATGACCGAGGTGTGTGTGCGTGTGTGTGTGTGTGTGTGTGTGTGTGTGTGTGTGTGTGTGTGTGTGTGTGTGTGTGTGTGTGTGCGGGTGTGTGTGTGCGGGTGTGTGTATGTGTGTGTATGTGTGTGTATGTGTGTATGTGTGGGTGTATGTGGGTGTATGTGGGTGTATGTGTGTGTATGTGTGTGTGTATGTGGGTGGACCGCATACGCATGCACGAATTCACTCATGCTTTCTCATTCCTGACCATGAACAGCGCAAGGCCAACGTGTTCATCAAAGCCAAGACTTCCGCTCGCAAGTAAGTGTGTGTGTGTGTGTGTGTGTGTGTGTGTGTGTGTGTGTGTGTGTGTGTGTGTGTGTGTGTGTGTTGTTTGAATACTCCCTGTTGGTGGACGGGCAAGCGATCCAATCTCTATGTCTAACAGGGGCGCACATTGTCGTTCTTGTGTTGTGCGAGCAGGGAGGAAGCTACATCGCTGCTGGAACTTGTTGGCTTGCTCAAGGACATCCAGCGCACGCTCAACCCACAGGAGCAGCACAACTGAGGCGTGCTGTCGTGATGGTGCTGTGTGTTGTGATGTGTGCGCAGGTGGTGTGCGTTTGTTTCATTTACCTCGCGGGGAAGGTGGTGGTGGTGGTGGTGGTGGCGCAGTGTTCCCTTCCTTTAGAAAGCCGTGTTGGCATTGTCGTCTGCTGCTGTAGTGGTGGCGCGCCGTGTGTTGTTTGTTGCAGTGTTCAGTGTTGTTGCAGTGTTCAGTGTTGTGGAAGTGCTAAGTCCTACCGTGACGAAACGTTCATTCATCCAAACTCTCTGCGACATGACGCTTAAACACAACGATGATGAGAAGAAAGAAAGCTAGGGGAAAGGACAGCAAAAGAGAGACACCCGCCACAACACCACGGCAGCGTGTTCGTGGTGTCGGTGCTGTCGCTGGCGTTGCGGTGGTTGTGGTTGCTGTTGTGCTCGGTGTCTTGTGGCATGAGGAAGGCAGTGTGGTGAAGCAGTCCAGTGGCCCCATCAGCCAGGAACACCCACAAGCGGTGGTTCGCGGCAGTGCTGCTGCTGCTGCTGCCTCTGGTGTGGTGATTGTTGATGTGTCGGCGCATCCACACCGCTTTGCAGATGAGGTGGCGTCGCACCAGGAGCCCGTCATCGTGCGTGGCAGCAACATCGACCAGTGGCACGCAAAGCACTGGTCCATTGCGGCCCTTGACGCCCACTTCCCTTCCATCCGCGGCTGGTACAGGTCAGTGTGTCTGTCTGTGTATGTGTGTATGTGTGTCTCTGTGTCTCTGTGTCTCTGTGTCTCTATGTCTCTGTGTATGTATGTGCATGCGTCCACTGTTGCTCGTTTGCTGATCTACTGTACACAACTACACACACGCACACACACATACACGCACACATGTGGGTGGCGTATAGCCATACGGATGCGACGTTTGGGCCCTACTATGACAGCACGCGGCTGTTGGCGGCCGTGGTCAGCCCGAGCAACACATACAGCACAGGCAGGACATTCAGCCCTGGGTGCGTGCTGCCATCTCCACCAGACACAGCACCAGGCACGCACGGACAGAGCGGCAGCGGCCAACAGGACGCAAGCGACCGCTTCAAGTACCTCAGCATCGAGACAGTGAAGCTGGACCCGGCATTGGAGGACGACCTAGAACCGCTACAGGAGGCGATATCGCTGTTTCCATCGCGCAGCTCCATCAATCTCTGGCTTGGCCAGGCCGGCGTGCGTGCACACTGCCACTTTGACGGCTACCACAACTTTTACTTGCAGGTGGACTCCATGTGTATGTATGGTTGTGTGTGTGTGTGTCTGTGTGTGTGTGTCTGTGTGTGTGTGTGTGTGTGTCTGTGTGTGTGTGTGTGTGTGTGTGTGTGTATGTGTCTGTCGTGTGTGTGTGT